GCCTTTTAGTCTCTTTTAGTAAGGGCATTCAGGAATGACAGCAGGGATATATCAAAACAATAACATGTTTCTTCTTTTATGCAGAATGTATCAAGGCAAAATATGGCGAAAAACATTTTGAAACAAGTTGGTCGGATATCAGGACAAGCCTCAACCAAAAATGCCTTGATAAGCTGAAGGCATTTCGAAAAGCCAGCGAATGAATTAATATCAATAAGAAATACATGTAGAAAACTTAGCTAGAGAGTACAAATAGAACTATTATCATGTGTGTGTAAAATATATTTCGAAATTTGAAAAAAAAATCAGGAATTAACTGYGGTTGYCAATTAATTGTAAAATAGACCTTGTACCGAAATACTGGTTAGATCCTGGTTAGGACCCTAGTAGGATCCTAGCTATAGCCATGATTGSCACCGGGGTATTAAGTTTTGATACTKTTCCATCTGTTGCCATAGGATGTCATGCTTTAAGTGTTGCTGCCAGTGCAGACATGTCAGTCCTCAAAGAATTTGGCAAAGAAATACTTCTTTTGCAGACTTCAGAATTAAGAAACTCTTCTTRAAACTTGCTTCTGTGAACAAAAAGGAGCATTTTCAGTCACAAGGAACATTGTTTAACAAATAAAATGTATATAAATTGCAACCTTGTTCGGCCAAGTTTTTTTTAACCGCGCGTTTGCTTTGAAGTCTTAGATTCTGCATTTTGTGCAAAGAATTTGTTTCAATTTAAAGTGCGGCCAAAAATCATAATATTAAAAAAGAAGAGCAGAAAAGAAAAAGAAGAAAGAGGAAAAAAAGGGGGGAAAAATCGAGTTCAAAACGGTCACCCATCCGAATGGATGACCGTTGCGCCCAGCCACTCAGCCACGAGGGAGGTGATCAGTCGGATCCTAAATTCTCCGAAAATCTAGCCCTGAGAAACACCAGTCAATAATTCACTGAAAAGTGCGTGGTTATCGAGCCAATGAACAGAGAGCATTTTGAATCGTTTTGTCTTGGAGTTGTTGTAGGTAATGCGATGCTAATTTGGATCACGGAAATCGAGCAGCGGAAAGCACTTTAAAATCAAAGAGCTGTGTTCGCAAGTGGCGATCAAAAAGAGAAAAGTTTATTTTCTGTCTTTTTATCCCTCAAAAACGCCCCTAAAACTCGGGGTGCGGCTTATCTACGAGAGCGGCTTATACATGGGTAAATACGATAATAAATAAAATATATTCACATCGCAAGTTGACAGACACCATGAACCCTTTAGTTTAATCTAATCTGGGAATTGCACCCAGTCCTCCT